TGTCGCCGACCCCATCTCAAAAGCGTGGGCTGGGAGCGCGTCAAATGCAGCGTCACTGACACGCCCCATCATCCACAGCGAAAAAGACTGTAACGACCGGCTAATATTTCGTAGTATTTCGATACATTGAAAAGGACCTAAATTCCAACAGATAAGCCGGTCACGTCATAGATCTCCGTCTAGGCAGGGAATAACGGTTTTTTAGATAAGATATTGATCTAAAGCACAATTTGCAGAAGATGAGGTATGAAGATGAATGTTAAAGGAGCGGTGGTCCAAAAACTGAGGCAGGATAACGGAAGCTTCAACAAGCAGGAACAAGAGAGAGCTCCGTTTTATGAGCGTTTAATAGAAGACATTAATCTTAATATCTTAATATGGTGCTGTCCCGGAGCCTCATTGTAATCTGAACATGAAACACGTGTTATTGCAAAAAACTAAACCAGTTTTTGCAATAAATTTTTTGGCGCCTCTTTCACGTGTTTCATATCATTTTACTTTAAAATCTTGTTTCAAGGAGGCCCACCATAAACATGAGGGCTACTTCGTGCGATTATGAAAAATACAGCTTGCCTTTGTAAATACATGACAGAACAGTTAGTGACTTTCAGATTGCGAACGCCACTACCCATGACGACTTCCTGGCCGGCCTCGATACGCTGAAAGGGCCCGGTTCCCCAATGGAGCCATTTATGTCCATGATTCTCCAGGTACTACTTTGACTTTTTATTCATTTCCTTTTTGTAGACCGATTAATCCATGATGGGTCAACATTTGGCGTGGAAGCGATAGTAAGTATTAAAACCTGAGATCATCGGAGAAGTAACTTGTGCACATTGTGGCGATAAATCGTAACACTGGATGTATCGAAGGGATCACTAGTACCTTTGCAACAATCGCCGGTGGGAACGTTGCCGTATTGGCACTTCTCTTACCGAAACTGCTTTGAAATTGGTCCTACTTGAACAGCAAGAATTGTAAGAGAACATAAGGCAGTGATCTTATTCGAGGAACTGCAACCTGTTGCTTCGTGTTCTGATGCCTTCACCCGTTTGTAATCTATGTTCAGTAATCCGCTCTCATCCAGTTTTGGCCCTTTCCAGTAGGATATCATTATGAAGCAGTTTAGATCATGGAAAAATGTGTACAACGGGGATTACGCTCTAACTAGCGTGTCCCCTCGCACAAACACGCCTATCGTTGTTTTGAGCATAGCACGATAATACCTCGATGACCGGAACGTGTTCATTTCAGACGCTGGCGTCCAAAGCTGTGATGTACCCTCCTCTCAAAGAGATTCATGACAACTATCCTGGATTCTTCAAAGAACATGGTGCATCTTTAGATAAGGAAACTCGGCAACGATATGAAAAACAGTATGAGGTGCTGCCTTTCACTAGTTATTTGTTTGAGGCGCGCTGCTTTGCATTGCTGACCTTCAAAAAGGCTAAGTAGCCTTTGGCTAGCTAACTAGTGGTCGATTTCTTCCCCATAATCATGTTTCTCTCTTTCTTTTTATTTCTTTTTAGCGATTTCGCAAATAGTCTTCAAATGCAGGATTAGAAATTTCAGTACGCCTTTTTCACATTCTTAGGAAAGATTTACCGATGTTTTCTATTGCTTCATCTCTTGGTTAGTGTCGCTATTGCCTTCCAAGTTTGTCAATCTTAGGAGACCTTTTGGCGCACTTAGACCCGGGGGGCACGAATGGTACTCAGCGAAGCCTGTACAGGCCTCATTGTAAAGACCCGTAAATTCTCATAACATAACTGGTCCACTTGTTCCACTTTGTAGCTTCACAAAGCTCACAGGTCACATCTGAACAGAACAAAAAGAAAAAAAGCTTTAGTTAAAGCGGAAAAACCGACCAGCGCGGAAACTCAGCGGGAGCGCCAAAAATGCTACTTACAGGCCCAAGAAAGGCACGCGCCTTCCCTTTTTTTTTAACAAAATTTTTCAGCACTTGTCGCATTCTACCAATTTTTTACACAGTTCCTTTTCCAATCTACTTAAACCTTAGCTCTGGTCAAGTTACTTTGGACCTTCGCCGTACTTTGCCTATAACAAGGAGGAAAGGGTGCCTGTCATGTGTTGTGCTAGTGTGTCATGTGTAGGCAATGTGACATACCTAGATGTTTGCTTCATTCTTCCTCTCTACTTTTTTCAAATTCCTATGTTCATCTCAGAGCCCCAGAAATGTTGAAAAATGGACTCAACTATCAAAAGTGATATGTGGCTGCGTCCATATCGCAAATGTTCTCCAGAATCCTATTCCCAAAAGCAACATTCGACCGGCCAACTCTATAAATTTTTTGAAATCTCTTTTTCAGGCGTCAACTCTGCAGCAAACCAGAAGTTTTACATGAGCATTTTAAAAAAATTACGGGCAAACTATCAAAAGCGGCAGACTCGGCGCTTGCTTCCAAGTTTTTTTTTCGCTATTAGGTATATTTTACACACGCTGCACTGCAGCATTGCGCGTCTTGCGAGCATACATACTTGCATTTTAGTTGTTTTATACGTTGAAAAAAAATAGATTCAACTGGTTTGTTATCGGCAAATTTTTACTATTCCTATCATGTTTCGAAAAACTAGCGGAAAAGTTCTTCAGAGTCTTGGAAACAGCTGTTTACTTCCTGATGTTGTTTTAAGTCTGAAAATCCTTTAATTGTGAATCAGTGTGAAGAGACGCGTCTGACACAATGCACTTTAGATTCTTGGGAAAATCTGCTTTGAATTCGAAAATCAAGCAGGACCAACCACCGACCACAGCGCAAGATGGTAGTGGAACGGTGAGTAATGAAGTGAGTTGTTAGTTAAGAAAGTCTCTACATCAATTACTGTAGTTTCCTTCATATACGAGGGGTGTTCAATGTAGTCTCGGTATAGGTATGATGGAAAAGGCAGAAAATTCTAAATGCAATCTGTTTTTTTACTCCCCATAACCTCAATACACTTGTTTGCTCGGGGAACTAACTTTTCAATACCTCTGGAAGTTTTTTTCATCCTTGTCCCCAAAATGTGCGTTGATTGCCGCTTTCACCCCTTCATCGTCAGAAAAACGCTTTCCACGATGATCTTTTTCCGTAGTTTGGGGAACAAGAAGTAATCACTAATCATTTTCTCAATTTTCTTTTCATTTTCTCAATTTTCTTTTCATTTTTCTCATTTTTTCAATCAGTAATCATTTTCTCAACATTGTCGCATCAGTCATTCTGGTCTTCTTTCACCAAGGATAACTAGAATAGCATTGATGATAACTAAATGAAATTTTGTATTTATACCCTCAGGGAGTGTCGTTACCTATTGAAATGATTATGTTCCTTCGTCACTGCTAAATTACACCGATGTCGAGAATTTAGACGGCCCTCGTATAAACCATCTTTGTTAAGAACGGTGCTGGCGGTATCCCTGACATGGCAAACTTTGAAACGCTCGGAAAGTTGCTTGTTGAATTACAAGCCTATGGTTATCCTCCTAAGGAGTTGACAGGCGAGCTACCTGCTGGTGAGTAATAGGTTACTCCCAACTGGCATGCATTCACGGGCTGCTCGATTGTTGACTTTTTTCAGGCTGGACTGTTGATGATAGGACCGGGTTACCGAAAGTTGACGACATATCTGCCGCTGCGAATGCGTGTACACTGATGTGATTGAGCATTTATGTACCCCTATAGAAAGCTAGCATATTTCAACAATATTTTCAGATTTCTAATATGTAATCATCCATTGCATAGGTTATGCTCATTATTTTCTCTAGTCCAATAGCGGATTGTATGTAGCTTGTTCACGAGATGATTTCCCTTATCATTCAGCCAGTCATTGTTGTGCAAAATTGTGTGAGCTTAAGATCGTTTTGAGGACTTCGTGATTGTATAGCATCCGTCAGAGTGCCTTTAGCTGAAGTTGTATCAGTGATGGTAATGAAAAGGAAAAAGTTAAATGTCTTCTTTTCGGTGGAAATGTACCTTCGCAGCCCATATCTATAAGGAATTTACGGGAAAACGCTGAATCCGTCTTCTGTTGTTTGACTTTCAGTTTACAGACGATGACCGTGTCGTACTTATCAAGCGTTGATCGTGCCTACAAACGTTACGCTTGTAACCATTATGACAATATAGCCTATCTACATCATCCCAGCGGTGTCAGCGTTGTTGTTTTGCGAAAAGTAAGTTAATCGCTCCTCCTTCTTTCCTTAGCGTTTATTTCGCTCTGTGGCGAAGCCCCTTTTCTTATTTAAGTATGAATTTATTACACGGCAATGAGGGCATGAGGCATACGTGAGAAAAAAGATCGGGACCCATTACATTTACAAGTTCCAATATTGATAGTTAGTTACATTCTTTCGAAAACAGTAATTAACCAGCAAAACACCAACTTATCGACCAGTCTCAAGAGAGCATCCGACATACATTGAATAATACCACCAGCAAGCAGCCGTGACAAAATCAACAATGTAAAGGAGAACAGAGTAACCCGATAGCGCAAGTGCTTTGGCGAGTCCCAGCGAGACACACACCCCAACAACAGACACCACACTAACAACCCACACACCTTGAACACAGAGGACAGCGGCCACAGTGAGATTGATGAGGAAGGACAAGGATGATTTAAGGACTAGATCAGAAAATGTATAAGCCACGCACCATGCTAGGGGTCACGTGAAAGTTGACTGACATATTTCTGCCGGCCCTGGCGAGAATCGTGTACACTGATGTGATTGAGCATTTATGTACCCCTATAGAAAGCTAGCATATTTCAACAATATTTTCAGATTTCTAATATGTAATCATCCATTGCATAGGTTATGCTCATTATTTTCTCTAGTCCAATAGCGGATTGTATGTAGCTTGTTCACGAGATGATTTCCCTTATCATTCAGCCAGTCATTGTTGTGCAAACTTGTGTGAGCTTAAGATCGTTTTGAGGACTTCGTGATTGTATAGCATCCGTCAGAGTGCCTTTAGCTGAAGTTGTATCAGTGATGGTAATAAAAGGAAAAAGTTAAAGGTCTTCTTTTGTGTGGAAATGTCTCGGTGGAAATGTACCTTCGCAGCCCATATCTATAAGGAATTTGCGGGAAACGCTGAATCCGTCTTCTGTTGTTTGACTTTCAGTTTACAGACGATGACCGTATCGTACTTATCAAGCGTTGATCGTGCCTACAAACGTTACGCTTGTAACCATTATGACAATATAGCCTATCTACATCATCCCAGCGGTGTCAGCGTTGTTGTTTTGCGAAAAGTAAGTTAATCGCTCCTCCTTCTTTCTTCCTTAGCGTTAGTTTCGCGGTCTGTGGCTAGCCCACTTCTTCTTTTCATAGAGTATAAGTTATTATCACGTCATTGAGGCATGAGGCACACGTGAGAAAAAAGATCGGAAACCCATTACTTTACAAATGTTCAATATTGATAGTTAGTGTAGCATTTCCTTTTCGCAAAACAGTAGGGAGAGTTCGTGGCGGAATACACAAAACCCCAACTTTATGACCACTCTGCAAGAAGGTGGCAGCCACCATGCCATTAATGAACCTTTTGGGATGCGTGCCTGAACTGAGGCCATGGACAAAGGCAGGTATGGTTTCTGTTAACTTCAAATACGTTATTTCGTGACATTAGAGCGCGTTCACACTTCGAGACCGGATCGCGCAACTGGATCGCGGGATCCGATCGTTAAGTCTTACTTCTCCCGAGTGAATGTGCGGCGTCGTGATGAAGTCGAGAACTGGTCACCTAGGCATGCAAGTGTCTAGCCAGCGCTGCATCTGTGGCTAAGCCGTTTTAGAGAGACTGGTATAGAACTTTACGGGTTCCGTGATGCTCGTAGCAGTCTCGAGCAGTTTCAACGAACGAGGTCGGGGCTTATGCGCAGTGCTGGGCGTCAGCATCAAGAAGGCGAGGCCCATTCTTCACAGGGGTCACACCGAATAATCATTCGTAACGTTCGTCTATTTGCGACTAGGAAATTGAATTACGTGCGACATTGTTATCCAGCCTTCAACTCCGCCTTTGGTTTGTCTAAGTCAGCGCAAACCCCGCTAAAAAACTTGGTATAATAGTAGGTTTAACATCCTGATTAAAGATGAATGACATTCATTCTTTTTTATGCTGCTGGCAGAATGGATGACACTAACGATTATCTGCGCTTGCTAGGGCTGAGTCCAGGGGGTAATCTTAGTGTCGTCTCTTGGCGCCAGCGACAAAGATTGAATGTCATATTCGTAATCAGGATGTTAAACTACCCCTATATACAAGTTTTTAGCGGATTTGGTGACTTAGGCAATTCAAAAATGGCTCGATGCCTAAATTTCTGGAGTCCAAACGGCATTAGCCTAGGTCTGGCGGTTCTACAGAACGTCGACTTGCGGCGTACTGGTTTCATCTTGTCGCAAAGAACGTCAGTCGCATATCGCCACTTGTACCAGGCTGCACTCACACGCGAGTCCAGACTGCGATCAGACGTATTCATTGATCCAAGATATTTGAACGTTGTTGTGCGCGTCAGCACACTGCCATTGACCCTGTAAGACTCACTCTTACAAGGGAGCCCCACTCGTTCAAGTCGGTTGTCTGGTATTCGGTTTCCTTGACTTTCAGTACGGTTCGAAGTTCACCAAGCGCTCAGACCGAGCTTGCACCTGTTGCTCGAGATCATCTTCCTTACAGGAGTAGCGTCGCATCATCAGCGTAGAGAAGCGTCCAAAGAGTCGTTTTCTGAAGGACCTGTGAAATGGCATCCATGACGACAACGAAGAGGAGCGGGGAAAGCTCACAGCCCAAATGTGATGGGAAATTCCATCGGTGCATAATGATGTTCGCACACGGTTTGTTGGGTTGGAATACAAATGAGCACCCACTTAATAAGCTTTTCGGGAACGCCGTGCTGTCGTGGGGCTTACCATATAAATTCACCCGCGACCCCCGACCAAATACTTTCTCTAAACTAAGGAAGGCTAGATGGACATGCTTTTGCTTGTTCTGTGAAATGCAAGTTACATAGATATATTGGACAATGTTATGGTTGGAAAGACATGGAGTATTTGTGTGCTTTCTGATCACTAATTGTGGAGATCCGTCGTCAAAGGGTCAGGTTCATCTCCTCTGGTCGACTGGGTTTTGTTTTTAATGTTGGTGTTGAGCAGACGACTACAAGCTTCAGGTGGGCTTGTCTCGGTTTGATTAATTCTGATTTCTGATTCATAAGTCGAAATAGCACTCACTGTCATCAGCATCCGTCTGCCAACAAGAAAACAATTTTGTTTATTCCTCTCGCTGTAGAACTCCGAAATGACTGGGTTAAAGGCGTGAAATCGGTGAATGCCGCTGCAGCATCATGTTGGTGCGTTCCTTCGTTGTTTCAGGGCTAAGCGCTTGGCTGTATTCAGCCATCTCCGCAGCATTCAATTGGAATAGAAAAGTTGTGCGAATCTGCCGTTTGTTCATGCTATTTTCGACCATCTGGAAAACTAGTAAA